CAGCTGGGCCTTGTGGCCAGCTCAGCCACCTTAATGTTGATTCTGTAGCTCTGTTGCCTGTATCCTCATGAAGGACTATAGTCTGTTTTTCGTTTGTTTTGCTATTTCAGGATTTAATGTCTTCACTGCTTACCTACCCTGTGATTGCTGTGTGTTCTCTAGCAAGTTACTTTGCTTTTCTTAGCCCCCATTTCTTTAGCTTATGCAAATGTAATTTCTTCCTTGCAAAGTTTGTATGAACTTCAAATATATGCACATACCCTTTCACACTGTCTCATTACAAATTGTTTATGGGGTTTGCTTTAAGGGAAGCAGTGAGGTAGTAATACTAATTGTGGGAATAACCCCTGCATGAGGACACATAATGTGGTAAATAGGGGTTGTAAGCTTCTGAATTTTGTTTAAAGAATCAAAAAAAAGAAGCAAAATGTTTTTCTAATAAGCAGGAGAATGTAAAGCATAGGACAAAGTGAGTCTAAAGGAGCTTGATTTGAGGAATTCAACTTGACAGATAAACGCTGTGCTGCTGTTGATACATGGAACTGAGCCGAACTTTATGGAGATACAAAGATGATAAAAGATGGGGTCTTTTTTTAGCAGCCTCACATTTATAAACAAAACCTTACTTTTGCACTTCACATTACAGATTCTCTTAGCAACACCAAAGTGGGATTTTGTACTGACTTGTCACTGGTGATTGAATTTTACACCAGTCTTGTGTCTTCTGTGGACACGAAAGACATTCATTGGTCTCTGTTCCTTTTTATGTTTCTGTGCTTAATCAGCTCCTTCTACTGTGTTCATTGACATATTTAAGATTTAGTTTCAGCCCTTCTCGCCCATAGCTGTGTTCGAAACAGCTTTCTTGGCACATTCCTAACCTAAATCCAAATCAACACCAGAAACAAATTCAACCTAACAGACAGCTGAATTGTTTCCTGTTTTAAGAATATCTGTTAGGTTGCTCTTTTTACAGATATGAGACAATCTGGCACCTTCAAAATAAAACAGATCGCAAGCTATCAGGGAAAGACACCTGCAGGGATACTGTAAAGGTCACTTAGTACCAAAGGCAGGCTAAACTGAGATTCCCTGAAGAACTGAATCAGCAGGTTAAAATTGTACGTCCAGTCTGCTCAAATAATGAAATGAGAAATATTAGGAAATATTCCTAGGAAATAGCTTAGAAGACAAAGGACAATAATTCTTCTCAAAGGAGATCTCTCAACTAGGCTAACCCTTCTCACCAAGATGATATCCTGAACTTTGTGGTATTCAAAGAACCAACTGCTGCTGACCCTGAAAGAGAGCTGAAAATCTAATTTACTGATCAAGACAGCTGTGATCTGGTCCAGTGTACCTCCCTCTCAGGCACACAAATGATATTCTCTTGAGCAATCTGAGAAGTTCTTTGGAGAACAATTCTGTTTCTGATTTGGATAGTGAATTGAGACCAAATTCCTTAAAATCCTAAAGCTAAAGTGCTTTATTGTTCTGTGCATAGGCTATTTAGGCCCCTGCCTTACCCTACTCTGAATGAAACTCTCCTTTAAATTAGGCTGTCAGGGGGCTGGGGATTTAGCTCAGCAGCATAAGCGCCTGCCTTACAAGCAGGCAGTTGTGAGTTCAATCCATGGTACCGATAAAAAGGAAAAAGACAAAAAATAAATGAATAAATTAGGCTGTCAGATCCTATATGCATGTGCTATGATGAATGGTGTTACTCCACGTGGTTCCTGTTTTCAGAACATCGTTTTTCTTTAAGACTGCATGCTCCATGGTGGTCTTTGCCTTTTCTTTCTAAAAACTGAAATAAAAATTTTGATACTCACATGCCTTCCCTTAATGGTTAAAATGCTGCCTTAGATCTCCCTGGTAATTTACACCTCAATATTTCCACCACTGATAGTAACTTCCTCCTAAAATGACCCAGCTGGAGTTTTCACAGAAGGCAGATGAGAAGGGAATGAGGGTGTTTTTGTTGTTTTTATCCCCTCCTTCCATTTAACTATTTCCTCACCTTCCTGCTCCACCTACTTCCCAGCGACTCCCCGTGGTCTCAAGTTTCATGTAGTTAAAGTGCTTTGTAAATGACAGCCCAGTGGTGACTTGGAATTCCACAAACCTGCTCCATTAATAACACTTAACACTGTGGTGTTTATGTGTTGAAGATACCAAGTAGCTTTTCCTTTCAGCCTGTATTCTAGGCATAGATACTTAGAGACTGTGTATGGAGGAGGCATAGTCTTGTTGCAAACTCTACATCATAAAATTTTGTTTGTTGGCATTTGGCTGGAGGTGGCTGTTTATTATAGTCAGAAAGCTGCGCACACTTGGAGTGTTTACTCTGGATTTGTTTCTGTGCATTGTGAGGATCTAATGCAGCTGAAGAATAAGCAAGGAAAGCCAAGTGGAGAAACATGAATAATCTTGAACCAAGCATAAGTAGTTGGAAAAAAAATTTGGACAAAGGAATGTGACTGGGGTGAGGTAAAATGAGAAGAATTCAGGCAAGGCCATCTCTCAAGCACTGCAGACCTGAAAACAGGCTGCTTCAGGGATGTACGTGCATTGACTTCAAGGCCAGCGCTTCAGAAAATCAGACTACAAATGCACCCATAACTCACAGTGAGGTGGAAATACCTTTTTAATGATCCCCCAGTCTCACTGCTGGCTATATAGTCAAAAAATTGAAAACAGGATCTCAGATTGTTGTGTACCTATGTGCATTTGCAGAATCACTCACTGCAGCCAATGTGTGGGAAGAACCCAGGTGCCCACCGACAGATGAACGGATGCAGAAAATGTGGCATTTTGCTCAGCCTCAGAAAGGAAGGCAATCTTGGCGTGTGGTACAATATGGGTGAACCTCAAGGATTTTATGCTAAGTACAATGCTCTGATTGTAAAAGACAAATGCCGTAGGATTCTGCTTAGATGAAGTACCTGGAGTAAGCACACTCGAGGAAACAGGAGGTAGAATGGTAGTTTCTAGGAGGTGAGGAGAAGGGCAATAGAGAATTTGCTGGAAGAGAGGAATGACTTATAGACACAGTATGACGCTGTGTATATACTCAACAGTACTGTATTGTGCACATAAAAATTGCTAAGAGGGTAAAATTATATCATGTGGTATTTTACACAATAAAAAAAGTATTTTAAGAGTCAACAAAGGGAAGTTCAGAGACATTCTCAATGTGGAACAATGTTCTGTTGGCCCATCCGCACGTGTATGTGATGCCTACCTGTTTTTGTTCATTTCCACTTCCTTGTGCCAGCGTTCATATTTATCTGGTACAAATAATCTAGTGATGAGAGAGTTCAAAGAAACAGAAAAGATCACAAACAGCTGGTGTCCTGTGAAGCTACATGGGCCAAAATGCTGGTCTAGCTCCGTAAGAGGGCGTAGAAGAGTCCCCTCGTGGTATGCTGCTGTGACAGAGGAGAAGCTCTGAGGCAGGATCCACTGGGGACCTGTGATAGCGCTGCCTCCCGCCCCAGGGTGAACTCACTGTCACGCTTGTCCTCAAGGAAGCATCTTTGAACAACAGCACTGGTTTTCTCCCGCCTCTGCCCCTCTCTGTCTTTGTATTGTCGGTTCTCTTATCAGTAATATGTGGTAATATTCTTGTCCTTATGCCAAAGAAAGATTGATTCATGTCTTCTAATAACTACAGCAAGTCCAATAACTCATCCCCCAAGCCATGTGCCTTTGCTACGAATGTGAGATTAGTCCCGAGGGAGCAAAGATGGATTCTTGTCCAGGAGAGAGGATTTAAGAAAACATTAGAGATATTCCATGGGTTTCCAGAGTATCTTATTCCACAATATTTAATTTATCTTGTTACAGAGAGTTGAAACTTAATTTTCTTTTCTCAGTGAGACAGTAATAAAACAAAGATTTAGAACCGTGGACCTTGCTGGATGGTAATGTTACTCAGTTTTAGCTAAAGTGAACTGAATGCAAGCCAAGAAAATAAAAATAATCTAGTTCTAACATTGTGATTCAAAAAACAGGAATGGAGAAATAGCCCTTTTCCTTCTGTAACGTCCAAGCACATGCTTTGTGCCACAGTCGCTAATGAGGCACCCTGGAATCGGCCCTGTCCTTGGTATCCTTGTGAGATCTTTGAGGAAGTGTCCGTTAGTCTGTGCAGCATTTCTGTCAAGTCTCAAAAAGTTCGCTGTTTGGCCTGAAACTGCAGTGCTCCCAAGATTGCCAGTTTGGAGGAGAGACGTAGGGCCTCTCTGCTGTTTCGGCAGGGAGCAGTGGGGTATTGAGGATCGAGCCCAGGGCTTTTGTATCAAGCTGTATCCTCAATCCTTTTCATTTTTAATTCAAGTCCAGGTCTTGCTAACTCATTGAGTTGCCCAAACTAAGCTTCAAATTTCAGTCTTCCTGCCTCAGCCTGCCGTAGTGTTGGGAGTATAAGAATACACCCTTGGGGCTGGGGATTTAGCTCAGCGGCATAAGCGCCTGCCTTGTAAAGCAAGCAGTCGTGAGTTCGATCCCCGGTACCGATAAAAAGGAAAAAGACAAAAAAAAAAAGAATACACCCTTGTACCCAGTTAGGACTTCTTTCTCCATTCTCTGTGCTGCTCCTACCAAGTACTGTGTCTGGCTGCTGATTCAACATGTTTATTTACCTATGTTGGGGCAACGAATACACTTTAGTTTTAACTGATCCTGGCAGTAGTGTGAAGCAGTGAGGTTTTTCCACTGCAGAATTGAGGGAGATACTTCCACCACCTTTGCCTGGTTAGCCCCAGGTGCGCCCTGGTCCTGATTCTGGTTTTTGCAGAAGTGAAGTACAAGTCCCCAACCTCTCACTTACCAAAGCTGATTTACACAGGCACTTCTCTGGTAGCGATGCAGTCCCAGGAGTGAGGAACGAGCAACTTAAAATATTTCAACACCCTTGCATTCCACTTTTGTGAGTGTTGACACGCATATGGCTCCCAGTGATCTCAGAGATTAAGTTTCTTACTTCTCTCTTTCAGATCACTACAGATCTAAGGCAGCGATGCACGGACAACCACACGGGGACGTCCGCCTCAGCCCCCATGGCTGCGGGCATCATTGCACTTGCCCTGGAAGCCAAGTAAGCCTTGATCTCTATGTCTTCATGGGTGACAGCCCCAATGTCCAGGAAATCTCCTCTTCCCATGTAGAGAATCCCTAGCATAACAGCCCTGCAAGTCTCAGGCCCACTTTTAAAATGTCAATGATTTAAATTTTCTTTAAAAGTCCTCAAATTAAGAGGGTTTTTTTTTTAATGCTTAAAATAATCCAACTGTGTAATGACTTTACGATAGAGTCATAATTCGAGCATGCCAATTGGCTGCCACAGCCATGTCTTGGCAAGGCTTTTATTCTAGTCTGGGAATGTTCCTGCAAGTCTCAGAGGTAAGGTTGGCCCTCTCTAGTCCCTGGATCACACAGCAATAGCACTATCACTTTCTGACTGGGGGACTGAGTATGTTGAGGTCACCTGACAGGGACAGGAACAAATCCCTTTTGCTGTTCAGTCATCAAATTCTGTGTCCCAAAGATCACTTTGAAAGGTACAGTTAAGCTTTCTGCAATAGGCTCGTCTTCCTTCTTTAAACACAAATAAGTTAATTTGTTATCATGTTTTGAAAACCTAAAATGAACCTAAAATTTCTTGTCCTCAACTTAAAAACCCCATATACCCAGGAAACTGAAGAGTTCTTTAGCAGATTTAACACCAGATTCATTGAAGGGCAGAGCTTATCCTGAACTGATTTGACACTATTTATGGTCATTACCAATCCCATCATCGTGAAAATTTCTATATTCCGTGCAGAAATATTTATGTATTTGATTATGAGCTGCTGGCTTAGACCCCAACTGGAAGTTTTGTGTAATACATGTTGCAAATGCCATCTCTGAAAAATGTATGAGTTTCAAACACATCTGGTCCAAGAATTAAAAAAAAAAAAAAAAAAAGCAATCAAGGATCTGTTGTCTGAGGAACTCCCCACAGGAGGACCCTAACGGGGGCGGAGGGCTAGAGTAATGATTCACTGCGCCACAGAAACATCTCTGCATCCCTCCCATTGGGAGGAGTAGAAACTGGTTCATGCAGCCTGCCCTGAAGTTAGAGCAAGAGCAGCTGATAATGAAGGAGCACAGTGCAAAGAGCGAGGCACAGGTCTCGCACTAAAGGTGCAGTTCGCTGCTGCACGTTGGCTTACTCTAACATGCTCTGGCTCCCTGGCTGAAAGGCCAGGCGCCTGTGCTAAAACAGCCAGCCCTGCCTTCCCAGTTTAAATAACACAGTTATTTAAAGCCGAGAACTGCACAGAGGTGGTCTCTCAATGCAGTGCCATGTCTCTAGGTGACCTCTCGGCTAACCCTCATCCCTGGGAGGCACGCAGACCCCCAGAGTGCTTGGATTCCTTTCTTTTTGACAAGGTTAAATATGAGGTCATTTTAAGCATGTTCTATCTTTTAAGGTGTTAAAAGTTTGGGTTTAGCAAGGAACTGGCACTTTTCCTATGAAATTTTCACTTGACAACTTCTCTCTTGGTGCAGTGTTCTGGCATTAGAAGCCTCAGTTGAGTTGTCTGTGTTTTTAATTTGGTGCACTCTAACTAGGGTTTTTAAAGAATATATTGTTTTCCTTCTGCTATGCTAGGTTTTATAGCTGGAATATTTCCGTATCCACCTGATAAAAATTAGAAATTCTTGAGGAAAAGAGATCAGGAATTCTTCCACCACCTCAGCCACTACAAAAAGACTTGGCATCCATCACTACACTAGTATTGCACACACTTAGATGATCTCTGCTTCCTTCTGATATTACCATAATACTTTTATTTCCAACAATCCTGTTAAGCGCTACTTGATCTGAAATGTAAATCCATACTTTCAGCCTCCAACAGCCCGCGCAGTGAGAAGTCACTTTGTGCTGGGTTACATTGAAAGACTGCAGCTGTCTTCCTTTCTTTTGCCTGTGGAGCTTTTTTTAAGATTTCTTTTTGCCGACACTCTCTTGGGTGGAGGTAAGTTCCCCAAAGTCAGGAAACCTGGAAAATCCACTGTATTTCACGAGTGTAGCAAACCAGTTCAGTTTCAGGATTAAAACAGTGAACAATCTGATCAACTGAGAAAAAATAAACCTTTTGTTGTACTTCATTGTTTGGACTACTGATAGGCCGCTCTATGCCTGTAAGCAAAGCTGCAAATTACAAGAAAGAAGTCTGGGTACCATAATGAGGGGACCAGGCATTAATGTTTATCCAGCACTAAAATAAGCTATCGGGGTGGGCAGGGCTCCACCTTGAATGAAAACTATCTAAAATTAAGAAACTATAGTGAGGATGGGGCTGGGGATTTAGCTCAGCAGCATAAGCACCTTCCTAGCAAGTGTGTGGTGGTGAGTTCAATCCCTGGTACCCATAAAAACAAAAAAAACAAAAAAAACAAAAAAAAAAAAGAAAAGAAATTATAGTGAGGAACTCAAATAACAGTGCATGAAGGCTGCAGTTGTTCCAGAGCAAAGCCGAACCTTGCACTTGCGTTACTCAGCCCTAAGCCTTGCAAGCTTCCCCGCATTATTACTTCTCAACAGCACTGGAACTTGGGGTTTGAGGTTCAGAATTTACTCTGATAAGCTCAAGAGCCAGATTGACAGGATTCTGCCTTGCAAAGGGGAGAGAAGGGAAAGCCTCAGCAAGCAGAAGTGAGGCTTGGGGACACTGCTTTCCCTCGTAGTATGCATAGCCTACCTTTATCAGGGTTTGCTGGATAACCGTGTGAGTTGAATCTTGCTTGATCATTTAATTACATGTCCCGGAATCCCTACACAAAAGGGAAGAATGACTGTTGCTCCACTTATCATTAGGTTAAAGTATTTATCAGCATAGGAATACCAAAGGAAAACCCCACATCCTCAGCTTTCCCTCAGACTGATACTTCTATGTCCTAAGACTTGCCTGGATCACTAGAACTGGAGGAGTCCTTTTTTGGGCACTACCCATGGCCACTTGGCAAAGAAAACAAATGCAAAACAGAGAATCAGGCAAACTTAAAATGTCCTTTGTCTCTTATCCAAACTTTGTAACACTTTGCTCATGAAATAACTTTGCTGTGGCAGCTCCCAGGACTCCCAGACATCCTTTCCCTCAACGGAAATCTGTTGCAATACACACTGCAGCAAACTCCCTTGTAATTCTCTCCCAGATTCTTGCATGAAAGCACAGGGGCCCTTGACACTCGCAGATCAGCATGCATGAATTCAGCGGACCACTAGTCAAAGTATTCCACAGAGAATTTACATCTGGGGGCCAGGAATATAGGCCAGCGTCGTAAGCACCAGCCTGGCAAGTGCGAAGTCCTGAGTTTGATCCCCAGTACCAAAATATAATTTACATTTGTTTTGAACAGTTACAGACAATTCTTATCACTATTCTCTAGATGATAAGTATAACAACTAGTAAGATAGCATTGTGTTGAGCTAGGAATTCTAAGTAATCTGGAGGTCATGTGAAGTATTTAAGGGAATGTGTATAGGGTCTATGCAAACACTGTGCCCTTGTATGCAGTGAGTTGAATACCCAGCAATGCTGGTGTGTGAGGGGCCCAGGAAACAACTATCCTCAGATACCAGGGAATGACCCTTCTCTGCCGAGGTTGGAATGAGGTTCGCTTTCTCTGCCACTCTGTTACCTTATCTTTTCTGGCTGGGTTTAAGCCTTTTGATTCGTGTATGTGAAGCTTTATAGCCCTCTCTGTCACTGTCATGATAAATCTGGCCTCCATGGTAAATTAGGCAATTTTCTCCTCATCCCTTACACTTCTAAACCTCATAAACAATCTCCTAGTAACTGAAAATACTGACATCTTAAAAGGGAGGAGCTATTTTCATTTTGGTGTGCTTTCACGTATTTCTTGTTTTGGAAACTTTATAATATTTCTACTTTTTAACTTTTATCTTTTGGAAACAGATTTCTTACAGAGGAAGTACTGAGAGATGACTGTACTAATTTGGATTGGTAACCTAATGCCAACTCAGACTTGTAAGGTGCTTTGTGCCTAGATCATATGACCTAGGTCATTGATGCTCTTGACTCATAGAAAGAGGGGGGGGGAAAGAAGATGTCTTACAGCAAATGATGCAAATGATGTTGCATATGAAACAATTTATAAAACTGAAACAGCTAGCACTCTTAAAAGTAGAAGGCTCTGAAAGCTAACCTGTGCTTTGCTAATAGGCTTCCTGACCAGATTACACAATTCCTACAAAAAGAAACTATTTTAGGGGAGTCTTTGTATGTTAAAATGTCAACATTAACATCATAACTCAAAATTTAAATTCACCGAAGAGACTTTTACCTTGAATTTCAAAGTTTCTTTGGTGGTGAGGGGGTGGGAAATTGGTGTGTATGTATTCAGCAACCAAGAAATGTTATTCTACACAGTGAAGGAAAAATAAAAGAGATTGAGTCAGATAGAAACTTCTGACATTGTTTAGGACAGAGAAGTGTAATGGTGGGAAAAAAATCTTCTACAAATCCTTCTCTAAGTGATCTGAAAACATTATCTTTAAATTTCACATCTAAGGGGGCACAGGAGTAACTTACTTTGAGAAAACTCAATTTATCTAAAAACTCAATTTTAACTAAACTTAGAAAATAAACAAATTGAGTGGCAGGCTTTACTGTCTACTAGAAATGTGTCTGGCCCACATTAAACATAACTGCTGGTAGTACAATATGTAGACACACGCGTGCACATTTACATTTTCTAGAAAGATTTATCTGCTTTCTTTTTAATCACATCTGTTCCTTCCTGTTCCAGTTATCCTATTGCCACTGCTTCCAAGAGTGTGCCTTACATAGACATAAAACATACATTGAATATTCAGAATATAGAATATAATTCAGGTCATTCAGACAATTTATTTTACTGTGAATATTTTTTATGTGTAATATCATCCTTCCAACAAGGCTTAAACTCCTTAGAAATAAAGATCGGACTGAAAATCTTCATGTGTACATAACATATATATTGAACACTAGCAAAAGGTAAGATCTCATAGTACATACTAGCTGAATTAGGTATGGTGTAATTCAA